AAGGTGTGAGTGAAGAATAAGTACTGGAAAGGGTAGGGTGAGGTGGGGAAAGAGCAAGAGTGTGGGAGGGGTAAAGGGGTAAAGGTGTGCCATGGGGTAGGGGAGTGGGTTTGGGAGGAAGAAGTTTTTTTTATAAATATGTAAAATATGTTTAAGGACTTTTTTATAAATATTTATTTTAAATAAAAATATTATAAAATAAATAATGTGACAAGTCACGTAGTGCTACGTGGCAGTGCTAAGCTAACTTTCTATCTGTCAGCTCAGCATTTAATAAAAGAGAGTTGACGGCAATACTAAATCCTAACTTCTTAACATTTCAGGGACTAAATCCTAACAAAAAATTTTATAAGGACTTATTGTAAAATGTCCAATATTTATAAGGATAAAAAACATAATTAAATCTAAATATTTTAATGTTGAATTTAGACTTTATAATATTTTGATAAAATTTGTTGCAAATATTGAATTGAGGTGTAATTATAATATTTAGCAGATAATTATTTTAATTATAATTTACATTTAGCTTTAGTTAAAATTTTAATTCATTAAGAAATTGTTTTATCTATATTTTAAACTTTATATATATATATATATATATATATTTATTTATTTTTGCAACATCAAGTTAGTTAATTACTAAAATGTAATTTTAATCTTTACTTTAGTCAAATTTTAAATTACGAAGACTATATTTCATTTCTATTATCAATGAGACATATATGTGAAGTTTAAAAATTTTGCTAACTTTTATTAGTTTTAGACTTGTATAAATATAATTTTTTATTATTATTCATTTTTCACTATTTTAATTAAATTTTATTTAAAATTATTTATAATATAAAAAAATAGTTAATTGAGTAAGAATATCACATTTAATATGAGATTTGAATAAAATTAAATTTTTAATTTAAAAATTTTAATTTTAAATTTTTAAATTAATTTTTATCTATTATCTTAATCTTTTATAGAATCTAAGCATTATTTTAACTTATAAAATTTTGAATTTTTATTTTATTGTTTTAGTATGAGCCTTGAATAAAATTGATTATTCACAAATTTTTTTTTAATAAATTTTGTGACGACTCTCAACACTAGTTTTTTCCTTACGTGAATTACAACTTTTTTTTTTACACTTTTTGTTTTTTCTCTACACTTGCCAACTAGCTGTGATTCCAACTGCAACAATTTTTTAAAAAAAAATAGATTATACATCTTTTAAAAATATATCTTTTGTTATTGTAAATAAAATTAGGTCTTTTATTAATTAATTTTTTAAATGGATTATAATTTACTTTAGGCCTATATGTATATTATATAGGCTCTATTTGTTTTAATATTATTTATATAATTTATTAAAATATTTTTTTAATTTATGAAAAAAAAATGTCAAATTTATAGTATAACGCAATAAAATAGTGTTACTGATGTAACATCCTTATTTTTATTTTAAATAATAATAATAAAATTTCAGAATTAAATAGAAAATGAAATAAATTTTTATTTATTGGCCAAATATAATAGTGAAATTTTCATGCATTCTATTCATTTTGCTCAATTATACAGAACTTTGAATAACAAGATAATAAAACGGAATCTAGAGAAGAAACGTTAAAATATATGAACATATATTATTCTCATAATATATATAAAGGTAACATTTACAAAATATTCATTACAGTACAATAAAAATACATTAGGACTTTCTTTGTAATATTTATAAGATACAAAACATAATAAATCCTAATGAGCAGCTTATCCATCACATGACCAAGGAGACACTAGCCATCCTCGTGCCATCCCTCTATCATCGAAGTCAAGGTCGTCATCTGAACCGACCAAGACTCGCAGTAACATGTGCCCCAGTAATTCGCTCAAACATCCAATAGGATGATCTCTCAAGATGATCATGGTTATGGTACGTGAACAGATACGTTAAAGTTGTTGGGGTCCTCATGGTGCTAGGAAAGATATATACACATAGAGTATGATGGATTCTACTTACAAAGAAATCAAAAGGAATACTAAAAGTTAATTCCATTTCCATCATAATAATATCACTAGGTACATCACTTTCATATACAATAATCCTAAAGAAACAAAGTCGCTGGTATTCATTAAATACATAATTTAATCTATTAGTTACATAACTATTTAATAATCTAATCCTCTCAGTGGGTGTTATCATCTTGGTTCGCTGAAATGTTTACGTAAGGATGAGTCTCTATTCATATTACCAAGTATACATTCACAATTAGTCACACCATAAAACAAGGATAATACAACAATCAATCATGTTACAAAGTCATATTCACATACATGCAATAATCTTTTGAGTATTCAATTTTTTACTCTTCATCTCTTTCCTAATACTCAAGATTCTCATTTCACTTTCATTGCCCCTGAGATCTCTCGAGGTCTTCCTTAGCATAGATAGTCACTGGATAGTCGCAGCTACAAGGATACAATGTGTGCCGACCTGGCTCCTTTTAGCAAAAGCACGGTCAGGAATATTAGTCAAGAAACGAGTGTGAGGCCTATATTGCTCCTACTCTCATTTGTTTTGTGCAATTCAAGATGAGCATCCACCACCCTCATTTCCTTAAGACTTCTTAGTCGTCTTTATCTTCCACACTCCTAGTGTACCTCTGAACTATCCATACTCATCCTTATCATATTTTATTCTCATTTCATTTCTCTTTCCATATTTCCTATCTCATCTCTATATTTCTCACTATCTGTTTATTAATATATTATTCATGCTTTTATCTCTTTCTTTTACTCTAGTTCATTATTATATCGCACATTAATCAATCATTGTCGAAAGTTAGTCCCCTCCAACTCAGTCCACCATTTACATGCATATACAGTTAAAATATAAATCATACACATCATCAAACACCACAAAACATGCTTCAAACATAACAAAAACATATTCCCATCCAACATATACTTAAAATCATACATTTCATCACAATATCTTCATGAATACAAGCATATCACTTCCTTAATAATAAAATAGAGTTCTCTTTACCTTAAAATGAAGATTTAGTAAAGGATTTTTTAGGGATCTTGCTCAAAAGGCTGAGTTCTTCCTAAATATCATAAGAGTTTCTATTTAGAGGAGGAAGAACAAGAAAATAACCAAGAAAATGGAGAACCAAGCTCTAAAAACTTACCAAAGAACAAGGCAAGTGATCTTCTAAGCTTTGATCGGAGAAAAGTTGAGATTTTTCAAGGATTTGCTGAGAAAATAAGGAAAGAAGTCAAAAAGAATGTATGAGGGTCGTGACTTGGATTATAATCCAAGTTTCTTAACTTAAATACCCCTTAATTCGCGATATTATCGCTACAGCGAGAGAACATCAGAATGTCTAGTTCTGGAAGCTGATTTCTCGCCACAGCGAGACACATCACGCTATAGCGAGAAATGCTGCAACTTAAACATCTAAAACTCTCCTAATTTCAAGCAACATGCATTAATAACTCATACCAAATACCAAACTAATAAAAAATAAAAATAGGAGTGTTACAAGTGAATATCCATATTCCTACCTCTCTCGTATTATTTGTTATTTAAGAGATTGTAACAATTTCTTTATTGCACACCTAAAAAACAAGACTCCTGTAAATAAAAATTTCATTTGTATTAAGAATAAGTGAAAAATAAAAATTGAAACTCTTTTTTATTCTCTTTATTTTTTTGTTTGTTCACTTTAGTTTTACAATAATTTTATAATATTTATGACTCTTTTAAATTGTTTTTAACTTATTTTAAAAAAATTTATATAACTTATCAAAATAAGGTATTTTTAACTCATTTCAACAAACTTTAATACTAAATTTAAGATTTAAGTTATTATTTTAAAATAATTTATTTAAGTAGTTACCAAATGCATCCTTAAGTTGTTAAAAAAATCCTTTTAATTGATATGATCGCAATTAACTATAAAAACAAATTCTAATGCTTCTCGTTAGAAATAGTAAGGCTTAAATATTAAAAAAAATCTTATATTTAACTTTCTTTTCTGTTTTTATTTTAATGTTATAACATGAAAGCATCACAAAATTTAAATAAATTAAAAATTATATATTAATAAAAATAAAATCATATTTATATATTGATTTTTATAGTAGAGTTGTATAATTGAAGGGATAGTTATTTATAATATAAAACACCAATCTAAGACTTACATACAAAATTTGCTTTATTTGTCGGTAGAAAACAAAAGAGTTTCTGGAATTCACAAGTTTCTGGATTTCTTGGATGTAAATTGATTGATTAACATGGGCCTCTGTTTCTAGTTGTCACATGGCAGGGTTACATGCTACGGATGCAGGATAAAGTCAAAGTACATTGCGCGTTATAGTGACCCAGAAAATAATTGGAGATACATTGAGAAAATTTTAAATGAATTGAGGCAAAGTCAAATTTATATTTAAATTTCAAAATATGCGAGTAATCACGAATTTAATTTTATCCAGTCACTTACTCAACCCAAATTAAATCAATTCAGCAAATAAATTTAAAAACCAATCACATCTGTTACAACTTCCCCTTCAACTACTTCAATATTCAAATACTTGATCTCTGTTTTAAAATTCTGTTAAGAGTATCCCTAATATTGTCTCAACCCTCGTACTCTTTTCAAACTATTAACATTTAGATTTTTAACTAATCTTATTTATTATCTATATAATTTTCTATACTTCTTAAAGAAGATTTAATCAAATTAACTTAACAAACTAACAATATCAAGAGCTTTGTAAAGTTTTTTATATTATTATTATACAGCTAGAAATTGCGCCTAAAAATATATCCGTAGGTATACAACGAATAATTGTCTGTTTTTTTTGTAGATAAAAGATAGGAAGTACCGATAACAATCCTATCGTATTATCAAAATACAAGTGATGGATAAAGATAGAGGTATCTAAAATAATTTGAAATTTGAAATATAAAGAAATTTACTAACAAAAACAAAAACAGAACAGAGACCAAGCGGAAAGACTCACATATTGCCTTTGTTATTCTATTTCCCCTCTCTTCTGTGTCGGCTATATTATCTGCATCTCTCTGTTCCCACTTAAGGCCTTCGTTCCTCATTCTCTCCCATACTCTCTTACTTCTCTTACTCTGTTCTGTGCCTTCGATCTGTTCGCTCACGCTTGATCCCTCTTTGCCTCTTCGTAAGCCAATCCGATTCCGCCATTGCGATTTGATCTGCGTTCGATCCATGCGCTTTTGATCCGAACGCGTTTCTCTCTGTGTTTGTGTTTTTCAATCGTTTGAATTCTGATTTTGATGTCATTGTTGCAGAGAGTACAATGACGGAGGAGCAGGTGGTGAATGCGGGCGGCGAAGAAGTCTCCGAGAACGGTGAGGATCACCGCAAGATCAAAGCCAATGGCGTTGCACGGGAGAACGGTGATGTCGGTGGAAAGGCCGTGTGTGATTCCGTTGCGACGGATCTCGTCGCCCGAGATGGTGAGGCATCGGAGGAAGAGCACAAGGTGAATGGCGAATCTCAGGTGATGATTTCTGAGGGGGAATGTGTGCGCAAGGATGCTGTCACTAACGGTTCTGCAGAGAAAGCTCCTGAAACGGCGACGGTTGATGTCGTTTTGCGGGAAGGCGAGTCAGAACACGCTGATGGTCAAAATGGCTCGGGATCTGTGGCGGTTTCGGAAGTCGTTACTGATACCGTTGCAGTAGATGTTCAAAACGGCGTCGTGGAGAATGAGATTCGTGAGAGTGGCGATAGTGATGATACCGTTGCAGAGGAGGTTCTTACGGATCACGACGAATTCGTTGTTGTCGGTGCTTCGGATGTTGAAAACGGCGTCGCTGCGGACGACGAGATTGGCGGTGATGCGAATGTGAACGGAGTTGAGGAATGCGAAATTCCAGCTGGTGCGGAGGTTTCGGGAGATGAAAACGGTGTCGCTTTGACTGTGACTGTTGCTGCGGATGTGAGTAACAGTGATCGCGAATTCGAAGCTGTAGATGTTCACATCGGTGAAGTGACTACTACTACATACGAGAATGGAGCAAATGACGTGCAGGTAAGAACAGAGTAACAGTGCAATAGTCCTCTAAATTTTTTAAATTTGTTTTTTGTTCTGCTCAGGCTTAATTTTATTTAGTCTCTACAATTATGAAAATATCGTTTTAATGCCCGAAGTCCTCTTTTTATCAGACGAGAAAATATAGATTAATGAATGAAACGTCATTTTCTTTTAGCAGTTTAAATGACTCAATTAAGTGATGCTTATAATTTCAGTGAGGAATGTGATGTATTATTCTATTTGTTTTGGTAACTGATTTTTGTTGTGATATGCAGGGAAGAAGTGAATCTATCTCTGATAAAGGTGTGGATAAAATTTTGGAAAGCGAAAATATTGCTAGTCCAGATGTTCCAGATGAGGACATTGTAAATAGTGAAAGAAATTATGTGGAAGAGGGCATTGAGAAGAATGAGGTTCCTGTTGATGTTGATGCCGTCTCTGCTGCTACAGATGTGATTGAATGTGCATCTGAAGATGCTCAGAACAGTTTAGAGAAGGCACAGGTTGAGCCTGTCTCTGATGCTGGTGGAGGCGTTCAAAATGGTTTGGCAGAGGCAGAACCCAAGCCTAGTGAATGCACTGAAGAGAATGAGATTCCTGGTGAAGGTGAATCCGGAAGTGAACTGGTTCCTGAAGGAGAAAATTTATCAGCCTTAAACAGCACACATACAAATGGAGATGGTAATGTTGTGTTTGAGGTTGCAGTGAAGAGCAAAGCTGAACCTTCTGTTGATGTGTGGGAGACAAAAAACAATGTAGAGGAATGTGAAGTTGATTCCTCAAGCAATGCAGTGAAGAGTGATGGTGAACCCTCTGTTGATGTTTCTGAGGTTAACACCAATGCAGTGGAATGTGAAGTTGATTCCTCAAGCAATGCAGTGAAGAGTGATGGTGAACCCTCTGTTGATGTGTCTGAGGTTAACACCAATGCAGTGGAATGTGAAGTTGATTCCTCAAGCTATGCAGTGAAGAGTTATGATGAACCCTCTGTTGATGTGTCTGAGGCTAACACCAATGCAGTGGAAGTGGAATGTGAAGTTGATTCCTCAAGCAATGCAGTGAAGAGTGTTGGTGAACCCTCTGTTGATGTGTCTGAGGTTAACACCAATGCAGTGGAATGTGAAGTTGATTCCTCGAGCAATGCAGTGAAGAGTGATGATGAACCCTCTGTTGATGTGTCTGAGGCCAACACCAATGCAGTGGAAGTGGAATGTGAAGTTGATTCCTCAAGCAATGCAGTGAAGAGTGATGGTGAACCCTCTGCTGATGTGTCTGAGGCTAACACCAATGCAGTGGAAGTGGAATGTGAAGTTGATTCCTCAAGCAATGCAGTGAAGAGTGATGGTGAACCCCCTGTTGATGTGTCTGAGCCTAACACCAATGCAGTGGAATGTGAAGTTGACTCCTCAAGCAATGCAGTGAAGAGTGATGGTGAACCCTCTGTTGATGTGTCTGAGGCTAACACCAATGCAGGGGAGAGTGAAGCTCAACTTTCCAACGGTAGAGTGCAGAGTGAAAGTGAACGTTCCCTTGATGTGTCTGGGATAAAAAACAATAATGCAGTGGAGAGTGAAACTGAACCTTCAAATGGTGCAGTACAGAGTGGAAGTGAACCTGTTGTGGTGTCTGGGATGAAAAACAATGCAATGGAAAGTGAAGCTGAACCTTCAAACAGGGCAGTGCAGAGTGAAGGGGAACCTTCTGTTGATGTGTCTGAAATGAAAACTAATGCAGTGGAGAGTGAAGCCGAACCTTCAAACACTGCAGTGCAGAGTGAATGTGAACCCGCTGTCATGTCTGAGATGAAAACTGATGCAGTTGTGAGTGAAGCTGAACCTTCAAACACTGCAGTGCAGAGTGAAAGTGAACCCTCAGTTGTGGCTGAGATGAAAACCACTGCAGTGGAGAGTGAAAGTGAACCATTGGTTAGGTGCGAGATAAAACAAAATACAGTGGAGTTTGAAGCTGAACTTTCAAATGGCAAAGTGAAGAGTGAAGGGGAACCTTCTGTTAACATGTCCGAGATCAAAATCAATGCAGTAGAGAGTGAAGCTGAACCTTCAGTTGAAGTCGGGGTTCCCATTGACCTTCAAGGTAGCAGTCATGGAGACAAAGACTCAAGAACTGTCACGGATGCTTTGGATGGACAGAATATAGGTGCAGAGGTAGTGAAAAGGCCATTCTACTATTTGATCAGGGTTCCCAGATATGATGATGATGAAAACATAAAAGAGCAGATAAAAAGTGCTTTAAACCAAGTAGAGCAGAAGACTAAAATTCGAGATGCGATTCGAGCTGAATGCCAGAGTGAAAAGGTAATATTATTATTTTGAAGGAAAATTTTATTTTTCTGTGATTCTAAGATTGTATTAGATATTTACTATGAATGTTACTTTGGACAGGCCAGTTGCAGGGATTGCAGTCAAGCGGTTAGGGTTGCAATAACAGAAGAGAGAGCTGCTCGAGATTTACTCAGATCCAAGCGCCAAGAAATGGATTTGGTTCAATCAACAATGAACAGATTAAACAATGTGATATCTGTTGGGGATATAGCCGGAAAGGTATGCCTTCAATTTTTTTATGAAGTTATTTATAAGCATTTGATTCTTCTGCCTGTTTTGTTGTGTTTACATTTCTAGATGTATGATTTGTTGGCAGATAAGAAACATGGAACACAGGATCCAGCATGAAACCCTACCTCTAAATGAAGAAAAGCAATTGATACGCCAGATCAAACAACTGAAGCAGAATCATGAGGAGCTGTCTTCTAATATGAGAAAGCAGGACCAGTCACAGCAATCTCTAGATGACAAGGACAGTCTTGAAGAGCACTCTAAGGTACCATATGCAATCTCCCAGGCACCATTGGTATCAAATATGTACACATATTATTATTTGGGATTCTAATCTCTGACAAGATACCGATATTTTGGATTTTTCAGCGTTTACCACTTTTGAAGAAGGAAATAGAAGTACTTAGGAATAATGTTCTAAAGGCAGAAGCAATAACTAAGGCTTCAAAGAAGAAATATGATGATGAAAGCAATAAACTGAATGAACTGCTAGCTCAGTTTACGGCTGCAGATGACATTCGTCAAGAGGCTTATGCTAAGTCACAGGCTTTGAAAAAACAGTTGCATGAGAAGGTTGATCTTTCTTTCCAATCCAATTCTGTCCTTTACTCGTTTCTTTTTCTCTCTTTTGATTACCAATTGGAAATGCTAAATACAAATACTGAATCTATTTTTGTTACTGATACTGCAGGGAAAATACTTTTGGGAATACATAAATGCTGCAAGGAAAGGGCAAGAGCTAGCAGCAGAAGGGAAAAAAGAGGAGCTACAATGCTTGTGTGTTGATCAGGTGATTTTTAAAATTTGATCAAGTGGAATGATTATATTTTCTGTCTTGCACTCCATAACGCAAATAAATTTGAATTCATCACTTACCATTAAGCAATTTAATTAAAGGTTGAGAAAATTATGGAGCTATGGAACAAAAATGATGGGTTCAGAAGGGACTATGTCCGATGCAACACCAGGAGTACACTGAGGAGACTGCAAACCGTGGATGGCCGATCATTAGGTCCTGATGAAGAGCCCCCTGTAATTCCTAATGCCATAACTGAAAGAGCTTCCAAGAGTAATTCCATGATCTCGCAGTCAACTATGGAACAAGAAAAGAAATCAATATCAACAGAATCTGTTAATAAAAAGGATGAACCTATTTCAAAGGTTGTGGTACAAAGAAATGAAAGAAATCAGACAACTAAAGCTAAAAAGCCTGCAAAATCTGCTCCCTTGGAGATGTCAGTGGCTTGTTGGGGCGACGTGTCTGATGATGATACAAAAGAAGAACCTGTGAGAACAAAGGAGGAAGAGGAGCAGATATTGAAGGCTGAAAAGGCAAGGAAGGAAGAAGAAGAAGCAAGGTTGAAGGAAAAGCGTAGGCTAGAAGAGATTGAGAAAGCTAAGGAGGCATTGCAAAGGAAAAAGCGTAATGCAGAGAAGGCCCAACAGAGGGCAGCCTTAAAGGCACAAAAAGAAGCTGAGCAGAAAGAGAAGGTAACAAATATCATAAATTTAGACTCTAGCCATTTATTATATGTTGTTCTACAACTATATAACCATGCATGTTTGGTGCAGGCAAGGGAGAAGAGAGCAAGGAAGAAGGAAAGAAGAAAGGCAGCTTCTGCTGACACTGCAGAGATTGCAGAACAAGAATCTGCTTCTAGCTCAGAAACTGTAACAAGAAGTATGGAAGAATGTGATCAGAGCGAGAAACCAGTTGAGGTAACAAAAAAGCCGCAGAAACCAACTCAATTCACGAGGCAGACCAAAGCAAAATCTGTACCCTTGGCTCTTCGCAACCGGGGTAAGAGACGAATTCAACCATGGATGTGGGTTCTATTTGCAGTTCTGGTTGTTGTTGCTTTGTTTTATGTGGGCAATAGCAGCGCCTTGAGATCTTCACTTGAAGCCTTGGGTTTCTGAGGACACTCGTAAGTAAAAGCAATCACTAGGGGTTTGTCGGGGGATGTTTCCCTTACATATTTATCACATACATACAAATAGATGCAATTCTTTCGTGTCCTTGCATTTTTTTTTCCTGCTAGTTTTTGGTTTACATAGTCATTAATTTCCTTCTTCAAACCGAGATTTGTTACTTTGGGATGTGATGGTAGTTTAACTGCTGAACGTTTCTGCTACCGATTATGATAATAAATTATTGCGATTGTTTCTTTTTTTTCAAATACATATAGATTTATATTCGCTGTTTTATTTATAATTTGTTATCCTTGTTTCTATTGTGGCTATAATTAGTAGCATAGAAGAAGCTCCATCATAGTTGTCCTCTCCTTTCTTCTTAGTGTGAATTGAATATCATTAAACGCTGAAGTCGTGTAGTGCATAATGCTGTATCATTTTCATCTGTCGCATAATAGTATATTCGGGCTGTAATGCATCGCAACCTAAACCTCATTAGATATGCTTCAATTAGATTACTGCTTTCAATTTGCTTGGGGGAGATAAAGGATTTTACATGGTAAATTTTTTAAGTTTAAACGTTAGTTATGTTTTCACCTTTTGAAAACAAAAATTCTAAAATATTAAGAGTTAATGAATATTTTTTTCTTATTAGAAATTATAATTAAAGTATTTTAGTAATATTAAATATAACATTTTTTTTATAAAAGTTTTTAAGAGACTAATTAGAATATTCCTTATCAGTGCGTGTTTAAAAACATGATAAAAATATTGTAAACGTGAATTTAATGTATAAGTTATTTAGTAGTTTAATATAAAAGATAGGGTGACAATTTTATATTAGTGTTAAGTGATATTTTTTTTATTATCTTTAGAAAAATATTCTAAATTTTTTAAAAAATAAGCTTTATATTCTATTTTATATATTTTTACATTTAAATTCATGTCTTATTCACTTTTACATGAATATTATCTTTATTATTATCACTTTCAATATTATTATTTATGTGATTTATCATATTTTATCATATCTTATCATAATTTTGATCTCTTTTCTTATTATTTTTATCCTAAAATCTCAAATTTCAATATATTTTACTAAGTTTTGTCTAAATTTAAGAACATTTTTTATTTGTATCCTTGGTATGTTTATAAAAAAAATAGAATTATTTTTTAAATTATCATTATCATTATTTTTATTTATTTTTGTAATGATAAATTAAGTATCTTAAAGAAAATAGTATTAAAATAAAGATGATAGCAGAAAAGATAAAGATTTTTAAGAATATGATAAAGCAAACAAATAGTAATATTTGAGATGAAAATATCAAATGTGATGTTCATGTAAAGATAAATTAAAATATGAAATTTTCTTAAGATAATTCTTACACATGTTTAAAGTTAGCGCGTAGAATGAAACTCAACATTATAAATTGAAAATGTATGAAATAGAATAAAAAGTTTCTTTAAACAAATTGAGAATACTTTCCGTTGACGACAAGAGAATGTTATTATAATGATATAATATGGACAATTAAAAATAAATTTTTGTATAAGAACTCATATAATTTCACTTGAAAATTGTTTTTATTTGAATCAAGACATGAAACTCAACATGAAAAAGTATGAAGTATAACATAAGATTAGTGTAAAATTGTCACTATTTTGAATAATTTAAAATATTTATTTGAAAATAATGAAAAAATGTTATTTGACACTTACGTAAAATTTTCATATAGAAAAATTAAAAATAAATTTTTATACGAAGACTAATATATAGATTTTTTATTTATAATGACTAAATTATAAATAAAAGTATTGTACGACGATTACAAAACAATTTAAACTTGTTACTGAATAGTCGTCTCACACGTAAGAAAAAAAGTTAATATCAGTATAATAGTCGTCTCACATAAGAAAGAGAGTTAATATCAGTATAATGTACATTAACAGCAAAGATAAAATTAAAAATAAATTTAAGAATTAAATTATAAAAAAAGTGTATGAAGTGGCATGAATTTGATATATAAGTTAGAATGGATAACTTTAATATATAGATTTACATGCTTATGCTTTTGAAAAAGATTTTACTTGAGAAGGTGAAAAAGATTAACTTTACTTGTTCACAAATGAGCATGTCTGGGAATGAATAATTTTTCATAATTTAGCGGTAGTTCTCACGTGATGTTTGGATTAAGTGTAATATGATGGGTTTGTGAATCTTTACAACACTTAAGAATTTGAATCTATATGTTCTACACTTCTACTCATCATTTAGGGTCAACGTAATCTTTCAACAAAAATCGATAATTCTAAGTATCTTAGACATAGTTTGGGATAGGTAACTCCAAACATTGGACTGAGAGCGACTCATTGTTAATAATTCACCATACTCCCAATTATATTATTTGGAAACACAGACTATGATCCGAGTTATGCGAAACATGCTAGACTCATCAGCTTGATTTCTCACAAATTGACCCACCGAGTCCAAACCCTCACAATGATCCATTAATGTCCTATTATAATCATAGTGATCCAACTAATATTTTGTGTTCCCTTAACCAACGTTCATTTGACTGCTATCATGTCCCTTGTAATTAAGGCACCATGGTAGAACTTAAGCTAGTTGGTCCTAATGTATTCTTATTCAACCTTAATAGTTTTGCATGAATACCGATGAATGCACATCCTCACACTCATATGCTCCTATTGAGATATTAAAATAACCCATCACTTTCTTGAAGAAAATCATGTAGCTATTTTGGTTGGGAGGCTTTTCCCATGCAATAGCTTAGACATACTCGTATTCAATATTCCTGTTAATTCTAATTATCGCTTTCTTCAAGAAAGTTCAGGTCCCGTTCATGGAATTTCAGTATTGGCTTTGTTTTCCTTACCCTTACCCTTTTTTGACCCCATTTTTTGATTTTGTTAAATACACATTTAAACTTTTTAATTAGGAGAGTAACGCTACGTTGGGATGAAAGAAAAAATGAGAAGAAAAGAAAAATAAGGCACAAGGTAAGAAAGAAGAAAAAATTGAGTAAAAAATATAATTTTTTTAGGTTATTTGGATCAAGAGAAAAAAGTAAGATGTACAAGATAAAGAAAAGTTAAATTTTCTATCTCCTTATTTGGTTAAATTAAATATGCGATAGAATATAAATTTTTTATTCTTGACAAAATAAACTAAAAGTGAAAAAATGTCTAAATAATTATACTTAAATGTTATTCTTAATATAATTGCCACAATTTGTGAAAATTTCATTTTCAATTATTAACATTTTAAATTGAAAAATCATGCATTTGAAAGAAAATAAAGATGAAAGGAAATGACACTAAAAAGATAGAGCATATTCATAATTTTTTTCAATGTAGCTATGATAAAGGTGAATAAAATAAAATAATTATTATATTTATTTTTAATCAAATATTTATTGAGTTATAAAGATAGAATTAACTTATGAAGTTACGATTGAATAAGATGATAGAAGAAAGGATAACAATTCTCTTTTTCAAAATGTCTTTCATTTATTATATTACATATTTCTCTTCTCTATTTTCCTTTGTCCTTTCTATTTTTATATTTTTTTAAATTTAAAAACTATTAAATTATTTTTATATATTTTAAAATTAAAAAAATTAAAAATTAAAAATAAATAACTTATAAAAGTTAAATTTTAATTTAGTATACATAGACCGAAAAAGTATTTTTATTATTTTTTATATATTTATGTCATAGTATTTTTTCTATAAAATTTACATCAAACATTAAATATAATAAAAATTTATCATATTCAACTTTTCTTATCTTATCTGTCTTAATCGTATTCTATACATCAAATAAGTTCTTAAAAATAAAAATATTAATAATTGCATGATTTAAGATCAAAATAATATTTTTATTTTAACGATAAAATATTTTAATAAATTTTAAAAATTATAAATATTAAAATAATTAATAATTACGGTGAAATATAAAATATTGATATTTTAAATTTGTATAAATGAGATATAGTTCGATATAAGCCATTAGATGAAGATCGAAAGTCAAACATTTTTCAACTGTTCCAATTACATTTTTCTTTCAATTGCATCCAATTCAAATTTCATGATCCCCCAAGCTATCAAGGTCAAGTCTAGTCACGTGCATACCTCTATCTACCTCAAATACTATTCAGTAGCGGTGCCAAAGTAGGTTTCTCAACACTATTTGATTTAGTCAAATTCGAATTTTAGATTTCATTAAATCAGATAAAAAAAAATATCTTTTGTTCATATGATAAAATAATGTTTAAATTCGATCTAAATTTTTATTTTATATTTAAATAAATTAAAAATAATATAAACTTGATAAAAAAATCACATAAGTAAAATAAAATACCTTGAAATTAAATCAAAGTTATAATTTAAGTCTTAAATTTTAACAAATTTAATTAAGTCAACTCAATTAAATCAATCTACTTTGTCAAAATTATTCTTCAAAGTTAGCAATTTTAGTAATTTGTATATTCAAGGTAAGTTAAAATTTATTTGTATTAAAATATCTACGGAAGTGCACTTATTATTATTATTATTATTATTATTTTATTCTGTAAAATTTTTTAGCATAAGTTGAAAAAAGTCCATTTTAATTAGAGCTGTCAAAATAAGTTGAAGTCTTAAGCCTTATCTCACTTAACTTTCTCTATAGTTTTATTTTTTAAAAATTCTCATAATTAGTGGATTTATTTTGGTCCTAAGCCCTAATATAAAAAAAAATAGTAGATTAGGATAAAATATCTATTCGAGGAGAATTCTTTTTCGAAAATGTTTGAGTGTAAGAAATTAGAGTGAAGTGAATCGTAGGGATCTCAAGGGGTGTTGAGATCAAAGAAGAAAGAAATGTGCTAGAGAAAAGCGATTTGCATTGTTCTACTAAATAAAAGTGAAAGGGGTGGAGGTTCACGATGGGTGGACACTTGTGATGACTCAACAAAGAAAATCTCAAGCAAAAATTAATAGCTGTGTTGGTCGTATACAAACGTTACCAACATTTTTCTTTACAAATTTTTTGAAGAATTATAGAGTACGCTTTGGGAGATATTCCAAAGATATGAGAATGTTGAGGATTTGTTTATTCAGAAGAAATGGGGCAAGGATGGATGCAAATTCGGATTCGTACAGTTTGCAGAGATCGGAAATGTCCATGACATGGAAAAGAGACTGAGT